TTCATAAACGGCAGGATGAAGCAAATGAACAAAACCTGTGGATGGGGGGCGGGGGGGGGGGAATCGGGTTCTCACTGTGGGCGGGGGAGATATGAATAGAATGAGGGCAAGTGCAGAAGACTCCTGAGAGGCTGGATTTGAATCGGTGTGAGCTCGGATTTAAAAAAGATAAATCATATCCCCCAGCTCTACCTACTCGAAGAGTCTAGAGGCAGTAATACCCCACTGAGCAGAGGACACCTACCTTGTATATGTTAGTGCAAAAATACCACTCCCCGCTGAAAGCAACCAGAAATTCTTAGATAAGCAGTGGCCTTCAGGTCTGGGGCAGAGCCATCCCTACGACAGTTTGGAATGTTTTATTGTGCCAGAAGCAAGGAACACTAACAAGGACATGTCAGAAGGACCTAGGAGCCAACTCCAATGGACTCCCACTAGCCATGTATAAGACAATTTCAGAAATGCAAAAGAATTATAAATAGTACTACATTTCAATGTATTCAGTCAAAAAATGACCTATGAGTCAATAGGGATGATAAACATGGGGAAGGGGCTGAGGAAGGGGATTCTCTGCAAAGATGAATGTTAATTCATACCCCCGGACAGACAGATGGAACATTCACCCTTTTGTGAATGCCAACCTCATAGGTGATTCAGGTGAGCGTTATCAAGGGGTGCTAAAACCACTGGGTGAGAAGTCCTAGCAGAAGCAAATTCACAGGACCTCAAATATCTCCACACAGATTGGCTGATTTACAAAGGGAAAGGGGACTGCGTTTACGGGTGGTGGGACTGCATCGTCCCTGTCTTACTTAAGTGACCAAATGCATAGCCAGTGGGCTGTTTTTAATGAAAAATTTCTCATATCTTGACTTGTCACATAAAATCAGGTTTAACTTTACTGGAACCGTGAACTTGGATGATCTATTTGATTATTTTTAAGTTAGTGCTAAATTTCTTAGTTGTTGGACGATGCCGTGGGTATGTAGGAGAATGTCCTTATCTTTAGTCAGGTACCTTAAGAGTTTAGAGGTCAGGTGTCATGATTTCTGCCATTTCCTTTTACATAGTTAAAATATTTTATGTGTTTTTATAAATTAGATTTTCCTATTCTAGGTATCATATATATATATATGTATATATATGTGCATATATATATATATATAATATATTCATGTATATATGAATAACAAAATGTAGCCAAGTGTTAACAAATGTTGAATCTAGGTGAAGAGTTTACAGGTCTTCTTTGTGCCATTGCTTCAATTTTTCTATAGCTTTGAAACGTTTCAGAATGAAATCCTGGGCGTGAGTCATTGTACGCAACACGCCCATTGGAGCCTAGCACGGCGTATGCACTCAGGAAGTGGCAGCTGCGTGAGACCATCGTCGACACTGTTTTGGCTGTTCAGGGACGCCCATGCCCCACTTCACGGTCTCAGCTGTGGTCTGATGAGGGTAGAGAAGTAACCACTACAGAAGTGAGCGGTGGTTTTGTCTGAGACCATAGTGGGGAAGGGAAAAATAAAGAACCTGCCTCATCTCCAACAACAACTGCTTCTCAGATGAAGCAATGGGACTCAGCTGCCATGCGCTTCTCTGGCCAGAGGCGGATTCCTTCGCAGGCCCTCAAAGTCACCGGGGTGCTGGAACCGCAAACCCTATGAATTCCCCGAAGACAATTTGCTGTGCAGATGGGAGCGGCACGCACCGAGCCGGCTCTGTTTGATGGGGTGCTCTTTGGCCTCCTGAGGAAGTTCCAGTTGAGGAATTAGGGCCCTGCTCCAGCCTCAGCTTGTCCTGAGACCAGTGAGCTCCCAGCAGACAGAAGGGGTGCTGCCCCTCTTCACAAAGAGTGGAACCTCTTCCTGGTGTCCCGAGGGCGCCTGTACCCTTTGAGGCCTTCCTTCAGCCCAGCAGCCTCGGGGGCTGTTGTTTTTAATATAATGATGCCCACACATCTCTGCAGCATGGAAATCAATGTTTTATTAATGCTGCCTAATTAAAATTTAATTTCAAAGCACCGCCGTTCTCACGTTGTTTTGATAAAGGCTTTGTGACTTTTTCTTTCCTGGTGGCAAGAAGGAGAACGGGAGAGGTTGAGGTATGGCTTAGGATTGAACTTGGGATTTGCTGCTGCCCATGGAGGGAACCCTCAAAGAGCAGCCCAAGGCGGGCAGAGCATCCTGAGGAAAATCCAACTCCCCGAGCTGCTTCCGGTGGGCCAAACCCTACCGTTCATCTTTGGAGTCCTGAATTTCCACGCTGGACTTCCACATGGGCTGCTCCCCATCTAAGGACTGAGGGCCGCCAGTTGCTAAGCCATCCTTCCTGCCCTGACTCCGCCTCTCACGTCAGGCACTGACCACATTGCTATTCCTTGAGCATCTACGTCACACTTTCTCCGACCAGTCGGAGCAGACGGGTGTCTAGAACTCTGGACGGGCTTCCTAGGGCAGGTGTGTCATTTCTGGGTTGCTTGGGCTTGCAGATCCTTTGTCAATAAGTACTTTTTCCCCTGTGATTGAGTGCAAATGTGGCAGCTACATTTATTGAAAACATGCATTATTCCAATTTCTTTATATACCATCCCTTTAAATGAGCACAACCACCTCTAAGGCACTGGAGATACTTTTATCTCCGTTATATAGATGCAGAAACCTCTCAAGGCAATGAGAGGGTGAGCGACTTGTCCTACGTATATCTGTCTCCAGAGTCCGCCTTCTCAAACACCCATCATTCTACCTGCTGGAGGGTGGGGCTGCACATTTTTTTTTCCGAGAGAAAGGGAGGGACTGGGGTGAAAAAAACATCAAAGTAAGAGAGAAGCATCGATGGGTTGCCTCCAATATGTGGCAGGACGTACCAGGCATGTGCTCTGACTGGGAATTGAACCCTCAACCTTTAGGCTGTGGGATGGCGCTCCAACCAACTTAGCCAGCCTGGCCAGGGCAGGGGCTGCATATTTTTGAAACAATGGAGCCAGATCTGAGGAAAGGACTGGAAGCTTTATCAGAAGCCAAACCCAGGGCCATAGCTCCTGGGCTACAGAATGAAGCCAAGATGATATGCCCGCCCCCTTGTGGAGGAGGCTGGATACAAATGGATTCACAGGAGACAGAGGCTGATCCAGGGAGAGATGTACCCACAAGAGTGAGGTTTGCTGTAAGCAGGAAGGTGGGGACCAAGGTGACGGAGGCTTTGTCCCCACAGCTGCTGCTACCTAGATGTACGGTCTGCAGGAGCTGCACGGAGGAATTTCAGGGGGGTCAGGAAGGCTGTGTCATGAAGGAGGGTTGTTTACAACCTCCAGTTCTAGGGGGATGGGACTTGGAAGAAAGGGGATGCAGGCAACACAGTGAGAAGAGGCTGGCCCTTTCCCCTCTACCTCCCTACGGACTCTGCATCTGCGGATGTGGGTCTGGGTCCCATTGCGGCCATCACTCAGGGGCCCTGGGACTCACTTATATGGCACAAGAGCACTACACAGGATTGCCTCAGCAGAAGTTCTGCCTTTAGGATCAAAGGAGGCTTAAAGCCCGATGGGTGCATTAGCCCTGTGTAGCCGATGATGACGGTTTTCTGCCCAAATCCTTTCTGATCCCTGTGTACTACTTTGGTGTCCCTCAATCTTTGGCCTGAGTGGCAGAAAGCCGAAAGTCCCTACCCTGGCCCTAACCGCTGTCTGGTGGCTCCGATCCTGGATGCAGAAGAAGAGCGATGCATGGATTGTAGCGTTTCCCCGCAGGCCCGGTCGCAGCCCCGCTTTGCTGGACATGGCCTGGAGCTGCACCTTGGCCTCCTTCCCTGTCGCTGTCCTGCTTCCCCCCTCCCTTCCCAGGCTTTCCTGGGAAGACTTCCTTAACCCGTCACTGGCTCACAAAGCTACACCTGAAAACGACATCATTTTTATTCACCAATGTCACCGTAATAAATTTGATAAAAAATAAAAATTTTTAAAAAAGCTACCTCTCAGAGTCTGATTCCAGGGAACTAACTAATGCCACCCCACAAGGCCAGAGGCAGCTTGGCTGGGGTGGGGAACTGAAATGAGGCCGTGGAGAGTGCTTCCTGGGTAAGTCACAGCATGAGGACGTCGTGTCCTCCCATAAATAAGACAAATGCTGCGGTACAGTCAGAGGCAATGCAATGGCAGCCTGGGAAGGGACACCCACATCAGCTTCAGGCAGTCAGGGAAAGCTTCCTGGAGGAAGGGGCATGGGAATGAAGACTTGGAAGTATAATAGAGCTTGTCCTGCCAACATGGAGGGAGAGGCTGTTCCAAGCAGGAGAAATGGCATGGGCGAGGCCAGAGGGGTGGGGAAGTGAGGTGTTCTAGGGACAACACGGGGCTCTATATTCCTGGAGTCTCCAGTTAAGAGGCATGTTAGAAGGTAAGTTACAGGAAGCAGACTCATCAGAACCTTGTGGAAGTGGAGCGGGGAGGGGTGGGAAGAGACGGAGGCACGGAGGCCAAGTTCAGGTCTTTGTCTGGACTTACTGGATGCAGTTCATTGCGATGAGGCACACGGAGGGCGACGCCAGCATAGAAGAGAAGGTCAGTCCATTCTGGGGGACTTTGGGTTTGAGATGCCTGTAGGACATCTGGCTGAGCATTCGGTTCTGGGTGCTGTCCACATGTGTGTTAACCTCTTTAGGAGCATTCTGTGATTTAAATTCTTTGAGAATCTAGAACTGTCTCCCTCCCAAGCTCAACATGCTTAAACAATACGACACACAGTTTCTGTTCCAGGAGGCACCAGTGTGGTTAAACGTTGGGCATAGAAGGTGGTAGAAAGTGAGATGAGGGACGGGGCTATAGAAAAGTCAAACTTGAGCGCCTGAGTGTGCATGGGAACAGCACCCCCTGGAGTTGTGCAACGCACAGTCTGCCCTGAAGACCCCGGAAAAGAGCCCAGGCTGAGAGGGAGGTTACAGAAGCAGGGCCCTGTAGCAAGTCCAACCCCCCCCCCCCAGGTAAGTGCATCTCCCCGACTCACCATCCTCCTCCGTCTGCACCACCAGCTCCTCGCTCTCCATCCGGCCCTCGGGGTTGGACAGCAGCAGCCGCAGGCGGATGGTCATGAAGGGCCGCAGACCCCGCAGGGTGTAGTGGGAGGAGGTCTGAATGACCTCCTCCGCCTCATACTGCTGCTGGTTGAACACGTACTGGTACTGCACCGTGAGGTTGTAGCTGTGGCAGCGGGTCACGGTGTAGCCGAAGGGCTCCCACTGCAGAGTCAGCTGCCGCGCTCGGATGTCCACGATCTCTACGTTCTGTGGGCCGTGCACGGGGTCTGCAGACACAAGCGTAAGACACAGAGGAGACTGTCAGGGAGGTGGGCTGGGGGTCTCGCAGCGCAGTGGGGGACAGCTCTTCCAGCCCGTCCCAGCTATTCGGCTGCTGCTCTGGGGTTTTCCCCACACAGAGCGTAGTTTAACATGTTCCTGTGAATCGGACTCCTTTTTCTTTTCTTTCCTTTTTTAAAAAAAGATTTTGTTTATTTACTTTAGAGAGTGGGAAGGGAAGAAGAAAGAGAGGGAGAGAAACATCAATATGTGGTTGACTTTCTCATGACCCCTATTGGGGACCTGGCCCATAACCCAGGCATGTGACCTGACTGGGAATCGAACCAGTGGCCCCTTGCTTTGAAGGCCAGCACTCAATCCACTGAGCCACGCCAGCCAGGGCCAGACTCCTTTTTCTTACTTAAATACATACATTTAAAAGAAACCATTTATGGGGACTTCCGCCAAGATGGAGGCATAGGTGGATGTGCCATGCCTTCTCCCACAACCAAGATTAGAGAAAATTAAATATTAGCAACAGAAAACACAGCCAGAACACGGAAAATTGAACTTTTCGGAAGTCCGTTAACAACAAATTCTTCAGCCTGACCGGTAAGGGGCAAAACCAGCGGCTGGCGGAGCGGGGTGGCACAGGAGGACTCGGCCAGACACACTCAGGCCCGCGGAATCCAGGCGCAGGGTCAGACCTAGTGAGCGACCCAGCGAGCAACCAGGCGAGCGACCGAGGGGGAGACAGCCAGGCCCGGGGCTGCGTGTTGACTGAGGTCGCGCATTTGTGCGAGGGTGGACAGGCGAGGGAGTGGGCGGTTGGACCAGGCCGGCAGGTCCCCACGGCAAGCGGCTGTGGAGGGCGCCGCCATTTCCCTTCTCTGACCCCACCTCCACATACAGCGTCATAACCCAGCGACTCTGAGTGGCCCGGCCCAGGTGAACCACCTAAGGCACTGCTCCTCCGCACCCAGCTGTGAGAAGCGGCAGAGGGGGTCGCCATTTCCCCGCTCTGGCCACGCCCCCACATACAGCGTCACAACCCAGCGACCTGGGAATCCAAGCCGCCGCTTCTCACACTTAAAGGGCCCGAACAGACCAAGAATGGCGCAGGAGGATCTCAGAGCCCCAGAAATAAATCTAAGCGATGAAGAAATAGCAAAACTCACAGATGCACAGTTTAAAAAATTGGTGATCAGGATCCTCACAGAACTGGTTGATTATAGCCACAAATTAGACAAATATATGAAGGCGAAACTCATTGAAATGAATGGAATTGCACAGGACACCAATAGCAATGAAAAGGAAACTGGGACTCAAATCAATGGAGTGGACCAGAAGAAAGCAAATAATGGCCAAACAAAAAAGAGTCAAGAAGCAAGAATTCAAAGAAATGAGGAGAGTCTTAGGAACCTCCAGGACATCTTTAAACGCTCCAACATCCGAATTATAGGGGTACCAGAAGGGGGAAAGGCACAGCCACCAGTGGAAAACTTATTTGAACAAATAATAAAGGAGAATTTCCCCAATCTGGCAAAGGACATAGACTTCCAGGAAATCCAGGAAGCTCAGAGAGTCCCAAAGAAGTTGGACCCAAGAAGGAACACACCAAGGCACATCGTAATTACATTAGCCAAAATTAAAATGAAGGAGAGAATCCTAGAAGCAGCAAGAGCTAAGGGGACAGTCACCTACAAAGGAGTCCCCATCAGACTGTCAGCAGATTTCTCAAAAGGGACCTTACAGGCAAGAAGGGGCTGGAAGAGGTATTCCAAGTCATGAAATCTAAAGACCTACAACCAAGATTGCTCTATCCAGCAAAACTTTCATTTAAAATGGAAGGACAGATAAGGTGCTTCTCAGATAAGATCAAATTCAAGGAGTTCATCATCACCAAGCCCTTATTATATGAAACGTTAAAGGGACTTATCTAAGAAAAAGAAGTTAAAGAAACATGAACAGTGAAAGGACAACAAACTCACAGTTATTAACAACCACACCTAAAACGAAAGCAAACTAAAAGGACAGCTAGATCAGAGTGGAAACATAGAAATGAAGATCTCAAGGAGGGTTAGCAACAGGGGGAGTGGGAGGAGGAGAAGTGGGGAGAAGGTACAGAAAATAAGTAGCATAGACAGTAGATAGAAAATAGATGGGGGGGCAAGAATAGCATGGGAAATATAGAATCTAAAGGACTTGAGACACATGGTCATAAACTAAAGGGGGGAATAGAACAACTGTAACAGCATAATCAATAAAAAAAATTAAAAAAAAAAAGAAACCATTTATAACTATATAAAAAGGAAAAACTTCAATACCCTACCATAAGTAAATGTTAACCACAAAAATGAATGCAAAATTGTTAAATTTTTTTTCTTAAATCCTCACCCAAGGATATTTTTATTGATTTTAGAAAGAGAGGAAGGGAGAGGGTGGGGGAAGAGGGAGTGAGAGAGACAGACAGACAGACAGATGTTTACTGGTTGCCTCCCACGCACACCCCGACTGGGGATTGAACCCACAACCTTTGGGTATACGGGGCAACAATCTGACCCAACGAGCTACCTGGCCAGGGAGAAGATGTTAAGTTCTTAAGGGTTCATCAGGGAACCATGGAAACCCAACCTGGGTAGCACCAGCAGCACACACAACACCCTGGGGATATGCTAATTGAGAAGGTTGCTAGAGTTCTGACCTGCCTTTAATCAGGCCACATCCTCTCCCCCTGGGAAATCAGTGAACCTCACACAGGTGCACAAGCTGGAGACCGAGCAGCATCCTAAACACACAACACCCAGTCTCTCCGCGTGGCCACGGGGTCCAGTGACGACGCCTGGGAGTTTCCCCCTCTTTCATTCACAACACAAGTCACTGTTTCCTAGCCTTCGACCCTTCCTCCTCTCCTCTGCACTTTTTCCCCAAACAGGCCGGCCAGGAACATCATCCTGAAAGCAGAGCCTGTCACACATGCTTACCATAAGGTGGTCTCCCTCCCACGGACCGTGCCCCCAGGACCCCGTATACACCACTGGCTGGGTCTTGTTTTATCATGAATATTCTGTTTCTAATCTATACAAATGAAATAAAATTTTCTTTACAAATCAGCAAACGAAAGCACCGTATTTTGCCATGTTTTTGTGCAAAGGTTTTTGTGCGTGTCTCACACAGGATTATTATGCCCATTACCATGCACGTCCTTATTTTTCCCTCAAAAATTCAGGCAAAATGTGTGCATTATACATGGCAAAACATGGCTTTTTTTTTTTTTTAATCCCCACATGTAAAGCTCATTCTATAAGCTTTAGGCATTTGTTAGGATAGAAACTTAACTTTTCTTGTCATCAGCGTCCCCATAAGTTCTGTGGCGTTCTGTGGGGGCAACTTTGCCCATAAAGTCCCCTCATCTGCCATGGATGAAAATGAAACTACCAAGACCTGATCTGCTTGGGGAGGAAAAGTGGCCAGTCTCCCAGAGGAGAAGGGCCAAGAGCCCCTTCCTAAGGCGCTTTTATTGGGTTCGTTTGCACAAGAATACAGGTAAGGATCAGGCAATAGATAGCATTCAAAGAACTCTGAGGGCTTATTCTCCGTCAGGGTCAGATCGCTAGGGAGCCATAAAACTTTGAGGAACAAACTTCTTGCTTGGACCCTTATCATTTAAATGAGAGCATTCTAAACAAAGCAGGTTTCACAGGATTTTACATACTCTTTCTTAGGCCTGATCACCCGGATCCCAGCAAAGGGCTGCACCCCCCTCCCCATCATAGGTTTTCAGGCTTAAGTGTATTAGAGCCAGGAACTGCTTCTCCCAGACAGAAATGGGGACTCAGGCCACGTCAGAATAGCCAGGGGGCGAGGGTCCATCACTCCCTCTCTGTTGCAGCCCCCCGAGTCCTTCCATGATGGCCTTCCAAGTAATCATGTCTGGCTTAGGTTGCCCCTCCTCTGAGGGGTCGCACCCATCTCAGAGGAGGGGCAACTCTTCTGAGATAGAGGGTGATCACTTAGGCTGACTAAGTGACCAGGCATTGGGGGCTGGGGAGAAGCAGAAATAAGCTTTGTCTCCTCAGTGGCTCACATTCCAGAGGTCAGTCACTCAGCCTTAGCCTTGGGGGGCAGTTACAGCTCCTGAAACCAGGCAGAGCCATTCCCAACAAGGTTCTCTTGCCTGAGAGTAAGTGGTTAAGCACTGGCTGCAGATTTAATCAGCACGTGTGTTTCTGTACTCCCTACAGGACTTTGCCAAGTTAGGTCATCTCTCTGGGTCCATTTCTTACTTCATTTGTAAAATGGTGGTAATAATAGCAGCTACCTTCATTCAGAGGAGAAGAAGGACTTGGGTGAGTTGTTGTTTGTGGTGCAGTTAGAATTGCACCTAGAACTTAATAAACGTGCCGTGCATGGTAGTTTTTCTTTTGCAGTAATAGGAACAGTAATAAAAATAATAAGGTTTCAAACACTGTATCTCTTCTGAACGTTTTTTAAGTGACAGTGCTGGGTAGCAGCATCCTTAGGCAAAATGACAGATTCTGTCGCCTCTCCAGCCCCTGAAAAGCTTGGGGGTGAGCCTGCCTCTGCACCAGCTCAGCAGTAAGAAAGGGGAGGGTAGGTCCTGATGCCCCCGAGTTCCCTTAAATGTCCTGATCTGTCCTTAAATGTCCTGCAGCTTCTGCCAGAGCCTTACCAAAAGCACTTCTCTTTCAAGAAGAATGCCCAGAAATGCAGGGAGCCCGGCCAGCCAGTTCAGACGTGCCTGTGCACTGCTGCAGACAGCGGGCAGCCTGGCCCCAGACCAACTGCGGAGTTCATGGTCACTCTTACAGCCCCATTATTCATGCTCACAGGTCCTCTGCGTAAAGGAGAGCCAGCATCCCCAAAGCAAGTGGGTGACTTTGAAACTGTGACATTGAATGAGCCATCGCTGGAAATCCACTGTGCTGAGCCCACGTGGAACAGAAGGTGAAAAGCATGTTCCCCGCAGCTGGGGGGGGGGGGTCAT